CTTTTAACGAATTGCCCTCCAGAGAGAGTGCAGTTGTCAGTATCCACAGTGGCCTGATTCCAGAACCTCCACAGTTTCCAAAATCCATGGATGCTCAAGTCCCTTATATAAAATGGTGTAGTATTTGCATATGACCTATGCACATCTTACCATATACTTTAAATCATCTCTAGATTACTTCTAATACAAGGTAAATGCTATGTAAATAGTTGCTGGTGTGTAGCAAATTCAAGTTTTGCTTTTAGGAACTTTCTGGAATTTAAACAAATATATTTTTGATTTGAAGTTGATTGGATCCACGGATGTGGAACCCGTGGATATGGAGGGCCAACTGGATACAAATGTATACTCCCTGTCACCCTGCACCCTGACAGCACCAATTATCACTTTTTTAAGTCTTTGCCAATTCAGTAGGTAGAAGACTATACCAGTTTTTCTGAATTTGTACTTTGACCCTAATGATATTGAAATTTTTATGTTTATCAAAAAAAACCCATGTCTTTTCATTCATATAATTTTGTGCATTTACCATTTATCTCTAGAGCTGTTCACATGTTAATAGTGGTACTCCCTTGTCTGTCATATATGATGCAGTTGATTTCCTCATTTTTGATTGCCTTTTAGCTTGATCTGTCGTTTGGGATAGAGAAGTTTAAAACTTTTAGGTTAAAAGAAAAACGCATGCATCTTTATGGATCCTTTGACCTAAGTCATGCTGAGATGGTCCTTCCCAAGCCTTTATTTCCCTCTATTAACTCATTTAAACTTTTCAGTCCGTCTGAAATAGATTTTGGAGTTCAGTGTGAGGTACAGACTTAACATTCCTCCCAAGTGTTGATTCGGTGGCCCCTATGCTAAATGCTTCAGCTAAATATTCTTTTTCATACTTATTTAGCATGCTGCTCTTATCTAAACATGCTAAATGTGTATATACCCTTTGGTCTGTTCTTAGACTTGTCATTTTGTTTCAATGATCTTGGTATCTATTCTCGGGCAAGCACCACCAAATTATTTGAACAACTGGAGGTTCACAATACATTTAACACCTTGGTGGACAGCCCTGCCATATTCACTTTACTTTCTAACTTTTCTTGGCTATTCTTGGTCATTTATTCTTCCTGAAGAACTCGGGGGTTATTTTATTAAGTGCTGTGTCAGGATTATGTTACAGCCCTATATTATACTGGAGAGAATTAACATCATTACAATATTACCTCTCCTGATACAGAAGCATGGTATGCCTTTCATTTTATCCAAGTCTTCTTTTATGTCCCTGTGGCAGAGCAATACCCGTATGTTTCATTGCTTACCTACATTTCTCAGATGCCCTTGCACTGCAGTTATGTTGGGGACATTTGATTAGTCCTGAGCAATGGATTGGGAGTATAAAAGACATTTGCCATTTTTGATGCGTACGCGCGAGTCTCTTGCTTTGATAAGGTGGTGACCATACAGGACATATTGAGAAAGGTGGAGCCACAACACAGAAGCAGCCTGGATCTTTGTGTTACTGCTTGGAGGATGGCAGCCTTGAGGAGTCACCCACCTTGCATCAAGCTTTAAGTGAGCAAGTAAACCCTTTTGTTGGTGTCAAGTCATTTAGATTTGAGGACTTGTTATCACTGTATAGTCCCTTAGGAAAGGTTGCAAATGTCTTATTCAGTGTGTCTTCGGATTGATATCTCTGTAGTTACTGTGATAGGGAAATTGTGATTTGATTTACCATAGTATTACTTCATACCATATAGAAGGTCCGTGTGCCTAGCAGGTGAGGAAGGGAACAGATATGGGGGAAGAACTTCACCATGGTGCCTCAAAGTCTCTGTTCCTGATTGTCATTCTAGCTTACCCTTAGCTAGGGCTCTAGGGCAAAGGCTCCAGGGCAGCATTTCCCAACTCACACCCACTTCCTCAATTTTAAGCCAGCTTCACCGCTGCCCTTTACTTAGTCCCGGAACTCATTCCAAGTATAAGTGTGATTGAACGCTTCAAGCAGCCTCTGTGTCTCTACCTGATACACTGGCTTCCAGATTCTGTTTGTCCTGGCTCCCAGCCCCTCTGGCTCTGAGTTTGGGGAGGGAGGTACTGGTTGAATTTTGCTAGGCGGCCACTCCTCTTTCTCCATACATGAGTCTCACCCTTTATATGTCAGGAATCATAGACTGATGGGTTCTTCTCTTACTCTGGCCTCACCTGTACTCTAATTTGCAGAAATTCTCAGAAATTACAGCCAAATGGGCAAACCCTCAGTTTGAAATGGAGACATGTTCTTTTTATAGAGAATCGGGGAGGGAGAAGTAATTAAATGTGCGAATGCAAACCATTATTTTAAACTAGTGGTCCTTTCATGGGTGTTTTCATGAGAACTTGGAAAGACTAAGTGGAAACCCAGATGTCAGCTGAGGGAATAAGTTATCTCCTTCCTTCTACCCTCTGTATGTGGAAGGGAGTAGCAACTGCAAAGACTGATTTTCCCACTGAAACTTTCCTGAGAAGATGGAAATGATTATGGTCAGTTTCAAATCATATTTTCCCCCCAGTGGCATAAATCCTGAATGCTAGCCAGAACACATTTTCACTTGTCCTTATTTAGGTTCCTGTGAGCTCCTGATTCTCAAACACCCATTCATGGGTGAGATCTTATCTACAGAAAAAGTTCTTCGCTCCTCTGGGGTAAAATATATTAAATACAAATATTTTTTCCATAAAGCTAAGCTATTCCATTTAAGTAGCTATCAGATTATATTCTTTTAATATTTTTGGCATTAAAATGATCAATCTTTTATGAAGTCATTACATGAACACTAGATGGTAGTTTGATTTGTTATAAATGCCTTTACACAGTTAAAAGCTGGCAATCCCTATGTTGGTTTCTAAATTATTTTTGAGATTTTTTTCTGGTCTCTATAATCTCAAACCCTCTGAACCACTGGAATGTATCTTCAAATAGTTTTTCAACACGTGGAATATTTTCTGAGCCCTTGCATTTCTGAGAACGCCCGCCTGTCCCACTGAAAGAGAAATTGCTGGGTATAAGGTTCTTAGCTCATAACTTTTTCCCCCTCAGAACACTGTGTGGAGTCACTTGGCATCTAACTGTTGCAGAGGAAATGTCGGAGACTCACCCAGAGTTTTGTTCTCTTGTAAATAAATTATTCCTGAACAGTTGCAAGATTTTTCTCCCCACTTATTACACCTCCCCCTGCTCGAGGCACTGCAGCACAACGTCCCCGAGTGTCTTCCCGAGACAGGATATGTGGTGGCTCACGGCCACGGGGCCAGACTCTAGCATCACCCAGGTTCAAATCCAGTCCTGCAGTTTACTAGCCATTGTATCCTTGGATAGTATTATGGGTTGAATTGTGTCCCCTAGAAAGACATGTTGAAGGATCTGGGAATGTCAGCTTCTTTGGAAATAGGATCTCTGCAGATGTAATCAAATTAAGATGAAATCCTTAGGGTGGGCACTCATCCAATTAGACTTATGTCCTTAAAAGAGAGAAATCTGGACAGAGACACACACAGAGCATAGAATGCCTTGTGAAGACAGACACAGAAGGAAGACTGCCATGTGAAGGCTGAGGCAGAGATGGGAGTTTGGCTGACACAGCCTGGGAACTGAATGCCTGGGTCTCTCAGAAGCTGGAAAAGGCAGGAAGGATGCTCCATAGAGGCTTCCGAGGGAACATGGCGCTGCTGATACCTTGATTTCAGACTTCAGGCTCCATAACTGGGGGACGCTACATAACTGCTGTCTTAAGCCACCCAGTTTGTGGTACTGTTATTGCAGCCCTAGGAACCTAATACAGACTTCTCAGACTATGAGCTTCGATTACGTTATCTATAAATGTGGATAATCGTCTGTTAGCTGTAAGGTTGCTGCGAAGGTGAAATGTGATTAGATGAGACAAGGTATGTAAATTCTGGGACACAGGAAGAATCTAAGAAATAGAGGGGGTGTCTGTGCTGTTATCATCATCATGGCCGCCATCACCACCATCACCATCACCATCTTCCTTGGGGACCCTTTCTCTTGGGAATGCTTTCTTTCTTTTTCTGCACTCTTGACATTTTACACAAAGCTTATGTGATTTTTAAAAAATAATAAAGTCATTTTGCTTAACTCTGGATTCCCAGGCCCACCCCCAAAGATTTTTGATTCGGTAGGTCTCCGGAATGAGTATTATTTGAAGGTGTCCAGACATGAACTCTCATTAAGTACTGAAAGTGCAATGTAATTGAAGTGGCGGACCTGGTATTAGTATTCCTGTTCTATATACCCAGAAACTGAGGTCAAAGGAAATTGAACCCAAGTCAGAAAACGCAAAATCAAGTAATTTTTTGAGGCCGGACTACAATAACTTCACTTGTTTGATGAAATGTGAAACTCTATTCTAGTATGAAAAAATGCCAGATAATGAGGACTCTATAATACATAAAATATGGGAGACGGCCCAGTATTAGGATTAAGAACACATCCTTTGTAAATCAGGTAGGTTTAAATTCTAGTTGTGGTACTTACTTCCTAGCTATGTGAACTTGGAAAAATTATTTAATCTTTTAAAATCTTTTAAGGTCTCAAGCTCTTCATCTGAAAATGGGAATGACACACATCTTGGTTCTGGAGAAAAGTAAATGATGTCATGACAAAGCACTTAATGCACCGTAAATGCTAAAGAAATGGCATATTTTTGCAAATATGCATTGATACTTATTTCAAAAAAGAAATCAACATCTTCATTTCCTGTTATCAATTGTCTTAAAGGTACAAATGCAGGGAGAAAGAAGATCCATAGATGAGAACTAATAACTAATTTTAGAAAAGATCTGATGTTTATGCTTTCTTAGTAGCTTGCTAATTATTTTTGTTCCGAGAATAACCTTGCTGGGATTCTTCTTTAATTTGCATTTAGCAAATTTCCTTGTACCTTGGAATTCTCTAGTTTTATAACACTGACAGGTCATTTACCAGAATATATAAGAACCATTTTTAAGAGTTCCTGGTAACTAATAAAAAAATGTGTGTTTAGGTGTTTAGGGATGCTCTTTATGGGTTATGATTTTCTCAACCAGTAGTGCCCAACAGGATTTGTTTCCTGCTACACTTGGAGCATTCCACCATATTCTTCACGAGGCTTCAAGATTCCAAGGAGGAGGAAAAGAGAAAAGGGATACTTTCCTGATGTGGGGAAGCAGGACATTTTGACATCAGCAAAGGAACCGGGTGCACAGTAAACAGCCAAGCAACAAGATAAGAAGCTAGTCTGCACAAAACTGCATCTTGTATTTGTTTTATTTAAACCGTTGTGGGTTTATATCCTATTGGAAACAGCTACCATGTCGAGTTTGTGTTATTCTTGTTAGACACGGCCTGCGTTTCAGCGGTCTGGCGTGATCTGGGTTGCTTCTCCATGCCGTCTTCCTCCGCAAGCTCTGGTGCAGGTCACTCGGCTCCCCAGCCCTACCCCTCAATGTCCCAGCAGGGACGCGACGAACCGGAAACCCGGAAGGTAGCTTAAGCAGAACAGGGTGCTTACAGCAGTAAGTCTGCAGACAGATGCTCCAGGCTTGGAGCAGGGGCCCAACCAGTTCATCTAGAATCTGGGCTCTCTTTTTCCTACTCCACCTTCCCTGGCATGTTTCCTTATCACTTCACAATTGCGAGACGGCTGCCTCAGTGCCAGAAATTCCACTTTCAGCCCTGCTTCCTGAGAATGAAAGGAAGGGAAAGGCCCAGAGCACCGCCCTTTGAACACCTTCAGTAGTGAATGAGGTCTTTCCTAGAAAACTTGTCTGCAGGTTTCTCCCTCTCTCTCTCTAGTCAGAACTGGGTCACATGGCCTCTCAGGCTGTCAGGAACTCTGGGCAAGTGTGGCTGAGATCCCTCTGTTTGACTGGAGGCCATCGTGACTCACCTCCTGGACTGCAGGTACTGCTTCCCTTAAAATCGTGGCCTGTTGATTAATGAAGGTGGAAGGCCGCGGCAGTGAACAGAATTTGCTCGAGTTCATTTCCCTGCGGCTGTTTCATTTTCCTGCATTCCTGAACTTCGCTTTCCACTTATGATGTCACCAAGCTCCTGGATGGAATCAGCCCTGGGGTGTAGAGCTGGAAAAGGTTACAGCTGAGGGGTAATGTCTGACTGGAGTGACCTTGGACCAGGATCCTTACTGGTTACCTTGGAGGAACTATTAAGAGATCTGAGGAACTGATTTAGGTTATTCAAGCTCATAGGAGGCTGATTTGTAAACCCTAATCTGTACACTTACAGTGGAACGTCTGTTCACCTAAGAACTCACAGCAGTTATCTGTCCTGGCTCCAAACTTACCCTGTATCCGGTGCCTGCTGGTGCTGGAGCTGGGAGTCTGCAAACCACACTCCTGCAGGCTCTCTCACCGCTCGGCTCTGCCAAGATGGGACAGTGATGCTGCAGGATGGAGAGGGCAGGGGTCCCTCCTGCCACCTGCTTCCCATCTGCCTGCGCCCCTGAGCACCTCACTCCAGTGCTCCTTCACCCCAGCAGCAGTGGCTGAGGCCACGTACAGCTTTCCTAACACCTTAAGATCCAGCTTGGTCAGTTCCCCGCAGAGATCACGGCATCAGTAGAGCAGTGCCTGCTCCTCTCGGTTTCCACACTGTAATAATCCTGACCTCATTCCCCATCATCCAGTTACAGAGGTGGTAGCTACTTTCTGAAGCTGCTACCTCTGTGACACTTAGAGTTCTTTTTAACCCTTTCGATTGCCTAATTAACACCAGTCTCCTGACCTGACTTGACCCAGCATCACCACCATGAAGCCATGGCCAAAGGCAGGGTCCTGAAATACTCCACGCTTCCCACACCTGAGTTGCCTACTGTAGCAGTGGTCACCTTTGCTAAGCCTCCAGAGGAGGACAAGCGTGGGCAAACGCCAGTTTATTATCACACTGAGGCTCTGGACACACACACTTATGTGGGAGCCCTGACGCTGGTGAGCAGAGCTACATCTGGTGGGAGCCCAGCTCACTGGAAGGAGCCTGAGCATCGGCCTTCTCACAGCAGGAGGGAGGCCTCCCTCAAGCACGAAGCAAACCAGGCCTGTCTTGTCACCAGCTACCCCCAACATCATGGGACCAGGGGAAGAACCCTGTCTTTCTATTGTTGAGTAAGTATGTCTTCATTTCTCCATCTAGGAGTGGAACTGCTGGGTCATATGACAGCCCTTTATTTAACTTTTTGAAAAACTGCCAAACTGTTTTCAAAGGCAGCTGCACCATTTTACATTCCCAGCAGTAGCACATCAGGTTTCCAATTTGATTTTAAGTCTTATTTCTCTGACTGCTAATGCTGTTGACCACCTTTTCATGTACTTATTGGCCATTTGTATATCTTCTTTGGAAAAACTCGTTTCAGATCCTTTGCCTATCCTTGGGCTCTGAAATCTATTTTGCTTTTAGATGGATAATTCTGTGCTAACTGATTATATCCTGCATACTAGGTTGGGATTTTGCCTAGAGGAAGCTACGTCTGTATCTACTGCAGTAAATTCACCAAGGCTTTGAGAGAGTTAGCATCCACTCAGAAGTCACATCAGACGGAATAAAATGCAGATTGGATTCAGTACAGACTCTCCAAGGAGAAACTTTGAGATTCTGCTTTCAAATTCTGAAGCAAATCCACTACAGGACAAAGTGGGAGTTGAGGGTAGCTTGGTTTTTAACTGAGTGCTAAGCCATTATCTAGGTAAATCGTGATAACATTAGTTTTAAGAGACAAAGTACAAAGCTTTACATTGGTTATTCAGAATCACGTTTAAAAATACATATGCAAGTGATAACTGTGCTTAATGACCACATTAACATAAAATTGAATACAACTCAACTTTCAGTAACTGTGGGCTAATTAAAACTATGCTTTTAGCTAAAAATAATGCTTTTAATTCTTTATGTCTCTTGTCATAAGCAATATTAAACAAAATAAGCAGGTAATTAAAAACATATTCTACAAAAATCTAAGAAACATATTTATTTTACTTGAAATGTAAAAATTAAAAAATCCAAAGTCAAAGAAATATATATAATTGTGAAGCCCTACTTAATTTCATTAGTGAAGATGCCACAGGTAGAGTCAGGGACAAGAAAGACAATATAATGAGATGGAAAAATGCTGGCCTGGGTGTCTGGAGACAAAGTTCTATCACTCAGAGTAAATTACTTAACCTCTCTGGACCTCAGTTGCCAAATCTATAAGATGAAAAGGTGCAGTTATATGGCTGTTGAGGCCCATCTCTACATGTCCTATTAATCTACAGTGACTGAAGGGCAGAGCTTGTATATGGCGTTTTCTAAGGAAACCTGTCCAGGAAAAGTAAGTCAAATGAAGTAAGATCGCTCCAAATCAGGAAGTCTATTCACCTTAGAATAAGTGGAAACTGTCAACACAAACATAGTCCAAGCCCCAAATTGTTTGTTTGTTTGTTTGGCTGTGTGTGTGTGAGAGAGGCTGGCACTTCCCAAGTTTTCAGGGTATTTCACAAAAGGGTTTGTTTCCAAAATGTTTGGAAAACAACAGGTTCAACAAAACTGTGGCACGCCCTTTTAGCTGCTTAACCAAAATCCATTCTCTACTTTTTCTTAGTTTAACATCACTGTGGTTTGATTCCAGACAGCACTATGTCTGGGGGATGGATTGTGACTGGCCTAAGCTCATCACTACAATCCTGCTCTCTGCTTTCTCAGCCTCCCTTGCAGCTACAGGCAGCCAATTCACCGCACATGGCAGTGGAATTCTCTTCCTCCCGGAAGTATCTCCAGGGATTACTTTTCCGGAGACTATGCTTTGGGATTATTGACATAGGCTAACTTAATTACAAATGAATGCACTTCCTGATCAATCTCATCAGAAGGTATTCGTCATTTAGGCCTTTTTTCCCATATGACACTGACTGGTTTCTCTCAATAAATAAAAACTGATGCATTCAATCATGTACTTGACCTTGCCCCCATTTTTGGAAAGAACTGAAAATGAAGAGAAAAATCTGTTGGCCAAGGAGGAACATGTCTATTAAACTTCTTGTCTATCACAAACCTAGAGAACTCAGGAATTCATATTTTCGGAGTACATGAAACATTAACACTCATGTGAATCAACCTTTTAGATATAGCCGTGTTGTCAAACAAAGAAAAAAAAGTTGGAATCTAGTAATTCTCAGCTCTGTGTACCAAAATCACCTGTGATACTTTAAAAAGAAAATTATACGTCCGTTCCATCCATTCCCCACCCTTTCTAATTTAATAGGTCTGGAGGTGGCTCAGGCATCTGTAATTTTTAAAGCCCTACAGGTGATGCTGACAGGCAGCCAAGGTTGAAATTCTCTGTGTTTTACAAATCACAGAGGCTGTGACTCTTCAAGATGCTTGGGTGAATAAGGCCATAAGGCAAGGTGGAAATCACGTGGTAACAGGTATCAGAGGTTCTGGTCTTGGTCTGGAACTCAGCAGCTAGGTGACTTTGGGCAAATAAAACTCTTTGAGCCTTAACTTGTTATTCAAAAGAGGTTACTTTTTCCTGTGGATGTCAACACCAAACGTTTCTAAAGAGCACATGGAAAATTACAAGGCGTTTTGAAAACTTTTAACATAGTATTTAATGCTGTTTACCTCTTCAGGGAATATCCTTTACCTTCCCTGTTCGCAGGAAAAATCCACTGTTCCTCCAACTGAGTACCAAGTTTCAATCTCCAAAGCCTTCCCTGACCAACCACACAGAACTGCTACCTCACCTGGGTTTCTGAAGCACTTTCTACATCACCCCCATCACACTGACCTTGCTAACTGACAACCCCTCTCGCCCCACCGGTACCGTGTCAGCTCTCACACAGTCAGGGGGTCTCATTCTTCTCGGTACCCCCGTGCCCGGCAATGCTAGCCGAGATGACCCACGTGACCACCTATCACCTTATCACTGAAGACAGAGAAATTACCCTCCTAGAACCCAGTTACCTATTGCTTCTCTTTCAAATGCCGAATCTTTTTCCTTCAGTGCACTGTTAGTTGCGGAACTCCAACACCAAAACCGGAAGAAACGGGGAGCGCTGAAACCTGCCCTCCTCATCAGACACGAATGAGAACTTACCAGTTCTTGGCCGTGACAGGAGTCTGGCTGGGTCCCCACTGCCGAGACATCATTTAATTCTCTCAACCATCCTATGGGACATACGCTATTATGATCCCCGTCGCACAGCGACATAACCGAGGTTCGGGGGACTTAGGTCATTTGCTCGACACGTCAGGAGGCCAGAAGGTGGAGCCAGGAATACAGAGGTCACTCCGGAGCCTGGAACCTTAAACTCTGCACGCACCTTCCTCGTCCCGAGATGCTCCTGACGACTCCTCGGCGTGGCTCAGGGGCCAGGAGCCCGCGTGCGTCGCTCCCCGCATCTGACAACGAATATGGTAAAGCTGTAACCGATGGGGCTGGAAGCTGGGGGCACCGTCCCCAGAACCATTTCCTCCCGGCGCCTCGGCGGCCCAAAAGTATCCCGGAGGTATCTGCAAGCGGCCCGCAAGCAGCCCGCGGCCGGCCCTGCCCAAGGGCCAGGCCCCTCGGGTCCGGCCAGGGATGCTGGCCTCGGGGCGGGAGGCGCAGGTCCGCCGTCGCGCGCGGCCTTTCCTCGGAAGCCTCCGCCGCCCCGCGCTCCTCGCGCCCCGCGAAGGTACCTCAGGTCCCGTGTCCTAAGCCCAGCGCGCTCCAGCCGGGCGGTCGGTCAACGCCCCTCAGGCCAAAGCCCTCCACTTCCGCGTCCCGCCCGCCGGAAGTGACGACCCGGAAGCTCCCGCTCCTCTCACGGGGGGCGGGGAAAAGAAGATGGCGGCGCCCAGCAGCCGGTGAGGAGAGAGGACGCGGGGACCCCGGGGGGCCGCCGGACTCGTGCGTGATGGCCGCATCCCCGCATACTCTCTCTTCGCGCGTCATGACAGGTACTGCGCCCGTTCTCGGGCACCACTTTGGGGGAATTTTCTTCTCTTTGCCACGTGTGACGCCGTGGTTCCGCCTACCTGCAACCTTGGGAGCCCTTGGCGAGGTCGGCGGGGCACCAGTGCGGGAAGTGACTTTTGGAGTAGCCTGACGTGAAGAGGCCACGGAGCTAGGGTCTAGTCTTGCACTGGGGCCCCGGTGGTCCGCACCGTCTCCATCTCCTCCTCCCCCTGGGCGCGATGTCTGGTGCTTCTTTCAGTTTTCAGAGACTGGAGGCTGCGAGAGAGAGGACGGAGTAGAACCTGGGGGCTCCACGAGCCTCTTGGCTTATTAGAGCCTTAGGTCCTAGCCATTTGTAAGTTACTCGTACGTCCCGCTTGAAGGACCGGGCAAGTGCTTTTCTCCCCCACCCCCCAACCCGGAAGCCTTGTTCCAGGATAAAGCGTCATGATGGCGATGATAAAGATGATGACCACCACGGACAGCGGGCCATAACCACCCCCTGACCCCCAGACTTTTGTCTTTCTCCATTAGCGTGGTCCCTGATATAATCCCTCCACGCCATGGACCTGTCACAGCTATATGTTGAAAGTGGGATGCACTTTCCTGCCCCTTGGCTCGGTTTCAGCTCAAATGTTACGTGTTCAGAGAGGCCTGACCACCCTATCTAAGGAGAGCCCCCCGCTCCTCTCTTCTTGCATCACCCTGTTTCTTTCATGGTGGTTAGCACAGTCTGTAGTCATTTATTTATAACCGGTTTATTACGTGTTTCTCCTAACTAGAAGATTGAACCTTGTGCAGGCAGGGACGGTATCTCTCTGGTTCACCTCTGTGTCCCCAGTGCCCGACACAGTACCGGGGGTACACTGTTGGTGCTGAATAATTACATGTGAATGAATGAAATTTCTCCTGATGGAGTTATTAAACTGGAGGTTGGGAACTGTTTTGCCCCCCTCCCCCCCGTAGTTTAGGATGATAACTTATGGGTCACGAATGTGTTGCTGGTGGCCCATGTTGGAGATGGACTCGCTTTGGGCCTATTAAATAAGGCAGTTCAACTAGATGATCTCCAAGGTCTCTTCTGGTTCAAAAGGAGGGCAGGAGGGTGAGAAGTGGGAGTGTGTATAGATGAAACAAGACTGGCAGAGGTTTGGTAGTTGTTGAAGCTGGGGGATCAGTGATGGGGGCTCATTGTATTCTGCTATTGCGTATGACTGGGATTTTCCATAATGATACATTTTATCTAAAGGGTCTGTAGTTCTTTTTGAATTTCTTTGTTGCCTTCTCCCATCCCCGACTGTGCATGTTTGATCCTGACCCTAGACACTCATTCTCAGAGAGCTCATCCTTTCTTAGTGCTTGAATTACCACCTCTGTAGGAAGGTTTTTCCAGTGTGCGTTCCTCAAGATTGGCTGCTTTTCTGCCTTTCAGTTCTGTATTTTCAGCTTCCTATAGGACAAGTCCGCCTGACTACTTAGAATTCCCCAGTTCAGTAAGTGGACTGCATATGGTCCACATGGTTTGTTGCTGGACCCGTCTTTTTGATGCAGGTATGGGGGAAATTAACAGACAGCTTAGCTTCCTGAAGCTGTGAACATAATCGCCAAAAGATCTGCTAGTAAGTGGTGTGTGCAACCTCCTATGATCCACTTGGAAGATCCACTGGAAGAGCTTGATATGGAAGCAGCATGGGGGGAAGGTGGCAGAAGGGTAAATAGGGACTGTATCAGGTATCTAGGGGTCATGCCTGACTATTCTTCTAAAGCTTCAAAGAATTTTATAGCCATTAAAAACTTTTCAGGACCTTTCAGCTTCTTATCTGTGCACTTCATTTTTTTAAAAATAAATTTATTTATTTATTTACTTATTTGCTTATTTATTTTTGGCTGCATTGGGTCTTCGTTGCTGCGCGTGGGCTTTCTCTAGTTGTAGTGAGCGGGGGCTACTCTTTGTTGCAGTGTGCGGGCTTCTCATTGCGGTGGCTTCTCTTGTTGCGGAGCACAGGCTCTAAGGCGTGTGGGCTTCAGTAGCTGTGGCACACGGGGTCAGTAGTTGTGACTCGCGGGCTCTAGAGCGCAGGCTCAGTAGTTGTGGCGCACGGGCTTAGTTGCTCCATGGCATGTGGGATCTTCCCGGACCCGGGCTCGAACCCGTGTGCCCTGCATTGGCAGGCGGATTCTTAGCCACTGCACCACCAGGGAAGTCGTGTGCACTTCATTTTAAAAGCCCTACGATCATGACTCAGTGTTGATGATGAATAGTGGATAAGATCATATGTTTCCAGATTTTTTTTTTTTTGCGGTACGCAGGCCTCTCACTGTCGTGGCCTCTCCCGTTGCGGAGCACAGGCTCCGGACGCGCAGGCTCGACGGCCATGACCCACGGGCCCAGCCGCTCTGTGGTACGTGGGATCCTCCCAGACCGGGGCACGAACCTGTGTCCCCTGCATCGGCAGGCGGACTCTCAACCACTGCGCCACCAGGGAAGCCCTGTTTCCAGATTTTTAATGCATCTATTATAAGCCATGTGTATCTTCAAACCTACATTTGTTTACATGGGACCAAAATGTCTTTAAATTTCTGGGCACTGATTCATAGAGATAATGACGTGTTTTGACTAAATGAAGTGTTTTTTTCATCATTTAAAAGTACAGTTTCCTAGCTGTTTCCCCCCCGCCCACCCCGTAAAATCTCGGTTTTAACCCACATAATCTTGAGAGAGATTTTCCAAAGTGGTTCTTTTCCTCACAGGAACGTGCGTTTCTCATTGGACCAATGGAACTCAAAACTCGTTTTGAAATTAAGGCCCAGAACAATAAAACTTGATGTCTTCTCGACATAATCTTTTAATACTGAAATTGTATTATCCCAAAGAACAATGTCAAGGCAAAAAAGGAAATACACGCAGCATCCAATAAATAGATAACAGACCCTTGCTATCGGAGGACTGAATTCAAAGGAAATTTCAATCAGTGGCCTGATTTCAACACTACTGTTCCTTCCTGTACCTATATACAGATAACACATATTCATGTATGTGGAAAATAAGCATTTCATACTTACCTGAGGGTTGAGAATATGATTCCAGTGAAGAAGGGACTTATCTCCAGTCTAAGATAATTGCCATGTTTACTGAGGGGTGGTGATAGCTCTCCTTCCCACAGTCCAGGTGAGTGATGTGGGTGACCCAGTCATCAGACATCATCTCATTCTTATATGGAAGGCACTCTGCTAGCTGTTGTAACAGAGGGGAGGAAAGGAGAGTCCCTACCCCTGAGGAACTGAAAAACATGATGCAGAAACAAATGGAAATATTTGCATTAAGAAGTACCACAAGGGACTTCCCTGGTGGTCCAGTGGTTGGGACTCCACCTTCCAATGCAGGGGGTGCAGGTTGCATCCCTGGTCGGGGAGCTAAGATCCCACATGCCTCTCGGCCAAAGAGCCAACACATAAAACGAGGCAATATTGTAAAAAATTCAATAACGACTTTAAAGGTGGTCCAAATCACAAAAAATCTTAAAAAAGAAAGAAAGAAAGAAGTGCCACACAAAAACAGTGTGAAGTGATAGGGTAGTTGAAGGAGACTTTGACATTTTACAGGCAGCGGGTGGAAGGCAGGACCGTGCCAGCAAGGAAGCAGCGTCAGCGAAGATGCACGAGCTGGAACGGTGGCGCGTGCAGTGCAGAGCATGAGACAGCGAGTCATAGGTACAGGTTTGGGCAGGTGATGTGTATTCCGGGCTTCAGAAGAAAACCGTTGGCTCTATGGGACTTGGGTTGGAGAGGAAAGAGAGTTAACTGAAGCCAGGGCGAGTGGCTTGAATCCCACGCCTGTACCGTAGTCCAGGTGTGGGATGACAAGGGTCTGTATCTCTCAGCGGCAGGGAAAGTAGTGGACAGATTTGACCAGTGTTTCCGAGTTGACTGGAGTTGATGATTATTAGGTGATGAAGGAGGAGTTCAGGGTGGTCCTGGAATCTCAAGTAGGCGATGGTTCTATCAGCAGTAGGGAACAGAGTAAAGATAAGGGTGAGAGTAACATTCTCAGAGACGTACTAGAACCCATCCACGTGGAGATACTCAGCAGATGGAAAGAGGCGTAGTGACTCTAGAAATGGGTTGAAGATGAACAATTACCCTGGAATTACGTTTGTTCAGGGACAGTATGTAGTGCTCAGAACAGCAATGACACAGCTGCCTTCACGTGGCTGACACAGCAAGAGGAGCCACTGCAGGAACCCGAGAACTGATAAGTTGCGGGTGGTAGAGAACCAGGGGTCCTTAGGGTCATGGAAGCCATGGAAGGAGAGACTTAAAAGAAAGGTTGGGGGGGGGCGGTCTGTGCTGTGGTCCTGTTGAAGGCTTGCCCAGGATGAGGCCTTACATGGAAGCATTGGATTTGTTGATGTTTGAGAGAAGGTTTAGAGAGAAATGATTAAAAGCCAAATTCAGATACAACAAAAATAGCTTCTTCCTAACTAGGTTCATAGACTCATACTTTATTGAGAGCTATTTCCTCTCCCTTTTCCTTGGCTTACCTGACATGGCCAAAATATTAATCTGAAACATATCTTCCAGTTTACTGTTATTTATTGAGAAAAATTCTGCTTCTTATTTTATACTTTTTAAAAAGTGACTGAACTGATTGTTTTATATTTTATTCTTTTTTAAAAATTAAAAAATTTTAAAAATTTATTTATTTAATTTATTTATTTTTGGCTGCATTGGGTCTTTGTTGCTGTGCGTGGGCTTTCTCCAGTTGTGGCGAGCGGGGGCTACTCTTCGTTGCGGTGTGCGGGCTTCTCATTGCGGTGGCTTCTCT